ACTGGGCTTCCTACTCCCATAAATATTTAGCACAGTCTCAGAAAGCCATAGGGTGTCGCTATGAGTCAGCATGGACTCGCAGTGAGTTTGGGTTTTATTTGAGCACATTGCTATGGGCTAGTATGACGCAGTATAAATATCAAACACAACCCAGGGTTTTGTTTCAATCGTCCTTGTTGTTAAGTGCTGTCCATCGGTTCTGACTCAGAGCCACCCGTGTACAACGGAGCCAAACATTGCTCAGTCCAGCGCCATCCTCAGAGCATTGCCACATGTGAGCCTGTTCTATTAGAGCCGCTGGGGCCCCCCAGTTCCTTGCGATTCACTGCCCGGCTTTACCAAGTGGATGTGGATGTCTTTTTCCAGGGACTCCTTTCTCCTGATGGGAAGCACTGGCGGCATGGTGGTTCCCATCGGTCTGCTAACACAAGATCAGCAGTTCGAAACCACCAGCTACTCCATGGGAGAAAAAGGGGACTTTCTAACCTGTGAAAAGAGTCTCTGAAACCAGGGGGGTGTTCTATCCTGTCCTACCTGGTCGCTTTGACTTGGGATAGACTTGACTGCAGTTTTGGTCTCTCCTGATGACATGTCTAAAGTACAGGAGGCAAAGTCTAGTCACCCCTGCTTTTAAGGAGTATTCTGGCTGTACTCGCTCTGCTCACTGCCATCTGATTCATAGTGAGCCCTTCTGGCTCAACTTCTTTCCAAACAAATGTGTGTTCTTCTAGCAGTCCAAGGTGCTTTCGACACTCTTCGCTCGCATCTGAATTCAAGTGCATCAATTCCTCGTTGGTCTTCCCTATTCACTGTCCAACTTTCATACGCATCTGAGGGGATTCAAAGTACCAGGTTTGGGTCAAGCGCACCTTAGTCGTCAAGGTGATATCTTGCCCTTCAATACTTTCAAAAGGTCTTGTGCAGTAGAGTTGGCCCATGCGGTAGGTATGTCCTTTGATTTCTGGACTGCTGCTTCATGAGCATTGATTGAAATCTTTGGTCACTTCAACCTTCTCTGTTACTCATGACGTTATCTACTGGTCCAGTTGGCATGATTTTGGTTTCCTTTACCTTGAGGTGAAAGTCATACTGAAAACTGCTGCACTTGAGGTTCATCAGCAAGCTCTTCAAGTCCTCCTTGCTTTCAGGAACCAAGATTGTATCATCTGCTTACCCCAAGTTGTTAAAATACCTTCGCTCCAATCCTGATGCCTCAGACTTCTTCATACAGTCCAGCTTGCTCAACAACCACATTGAATATGTACAGTGAAAGGCTACAACCCTGACGCACACTTTTCTGATATGAAACCACTCAGTCTTCCTTTATTGGGTTCCAACAAATGACTCTTGGTTCATGAGCACAACAAAGTGTTTTGGAATTCCCATTCAGTGTCACCCACCAATAGTTATGGCCCACACAGTTGAATACCTTTACATAGCCAATGAAACACAAGTAACCACCTTTTTGGTATTCTCTACTGTGAGCCAAGATCCACCTGAATTAGCAATGATATCCCTTGTTTCATACCCTCTTCTGAACCTGGCTTGAATTTCTGGAACCTCCCTGTCAATGCACTCAAAATGATCGTTAGCAAAATTTTACTTCCACGTACCATTACTGATACTGTTCTATACTTTCCACAGTCTGTTGGGTCACCTTTCCTTGGGATGGCTACAGCTGTGCATCTCTTCCAGTCAGTTGGCTAGGAAGCTGACTGAAATTTCTTGGCAGAGAGGAGTGAGCTTCCAACGCTTCATCAGCTTATTGAAACATTTCAATGAGTAGTTCACCACTTCCGGGAGCCATGCTTTTCACTAACACCTTCAGCGAGAGGTTGGACTTCTTTCTTCAGTACCACTGATCCTGGATCATATGCTAGCTCTTGAAATGGTTCAATGTCAACCGGTTCTTTTTGAAACAATGACTCTGTGTGCTCCTTCAATCTTCCTTTGAAGCTTCCTGCTTCATTCAATATTTTGCCCATAAGATATCTCAACATTGCAACTCGAAGCTTGACATTTTTACTTCAGTTCATTCCACATGAGGTATTCTGAGAATGTCCTTTTAGGATTTATAATTTTAGATCTTTGCACATTTCATTGAAATACTTGCTGACCCTTGAAAATTTCTATTTAGCTCTTTTACTTCATCTTTCTTTCCATTTGCTTTAGTTTCTTTACAGGAAATTGCAAGTTTCAGAGTCTTCTGATGTCCAATTTGATATTGTTTCCCCAGTCTTAATAATGACCTTTACTTCATGTATGATATTCTTTATAAGTTGTCCCATAACTCATTAGGCAGTCTATCATTGGTGTTCAATGAGTTAAATCTGCATAAATTTGAATAACAACTGTATTGATTGCATTTACTTGTATGTGGATAGATATTAATCATATCACTCATAGCCTTGTAATTCAAGAAAGACCTTGAAATACCCTTTTGATGATAAATGCAATGCATTCCTTTTGATTGTGTCATTCCCAGCATAGTAAATCATATGATTTTCTGAATCAAAATGGCCAACCCCAGTCGACTTCAGCTCACTAGCACCCAGAATACAGATTTTTATGCATTTCATATCATTTTAGAGGGTTTCCAGTTTTCCTGGTTTCTTTCATCAGACCTTTCAAGTTCTGATTATTAACTGATGTTTATATTTTTTCTTCTTCTCATTTTGTCTTGTGCCCCATCCGCAAATGAAGATTCCCAAAGCTTGTACTTCCACCAGCTGCACGCTATTCAAGTTCCCAGAGTCCACCCTACTTTGAGAAGCCGGCTCTTCTTCAGGCATATTTTGGGGAACTTCTGCCCCGCGGGCTAGTGTCTGGCGCTGTCCCTGACAATGTTCTGCTTAGATTTGTGGGCCTTCTGAATCAAGCAATAGTTTGATTCTATGCAGAAGGTTTTCAGTGGCTACTTCCTCCAATGTGGAAAGCCCATTGTGTCTTCACGGGTTTTAGAAGACGGCCAAGACCTGGTGATGTCCCAGTCAAAAAAGCACCGCCATGGAAATGATTCTGACTCATAGCGACACACTCACGCAGTGGTTCTCAAACTTCCTGATGCCGTGACCCTTTCATATAGTTCCTCATGTTGTGGTGACCCCCATATGGAGGTGTATCTGTATGTGGGTGGACCCATCTGGAGAAGGACAGAGGAGCGGTGTCTTGGTTCCTAAGACCATCAGAAATATGGCCTTAGGCAAGCCCTGTGAAAGGGTCGTTCAACCCCGGGTTGAGAATCGCTGCACTAAGGAATGGAATAGAACTACTCCACAGGGATTCTATGACCGCACAGCTTCACGTTGAGTAGACAACCTCATCTTTCTCCCAAGGAACTCCTTGGCATATGACAATTTATCAGCAAGGTTAGTTATTATTATTGTCACATACAAATTACATTGCATAGTTAGTTGATATGTTTCAGTAAGTCTTCTGTAAGATTATTAATAGTTATTTTAGAGCATAAGACAGTTGGGTACCATTGAGGCCATGGAATAATTAAAGATCTATCTGGTCATCACACTATAGATGCGAGGTAGCACTGGAGAGGCTCTTCTGAAGTGCACATGCAGCTGTTGCAGACTATTATACGGGGCTTAACCAATGTCCCCATACATTCTTTTAAATCCCCTCATATACTGAGGAGGGTCATCAGGGAGCCAGAGCAATGGCTCAGATCTCCTCCCCACATCATATAACAGTCAGAATGTTAATTTCACATACTTGCTTATAACAAGTCCTTCATTGAAGGCACATAAATACAATTAATTATTACTGCTTGTTCATTTGGATTCCACTCTCAGGCAAAAAAATAATGTTAAAACACCCATATTTGGCCATAAATATTACTAATAGTGATGACTACTACTAGGTAAATGTATAATTATATATCTTTAAAAGATATTTCATACATTTAGTAAATGTATCTTTCTCTATAACCAATGTACTCAATGGAAGCAGCCACGGTTGCTTCTGATCTGTGTTCTCAGAGGGCAGGTTACAAGACGGCCTCGTATGGAGCAGCGGGCTCCTTTTCCTTTGCTGTGTTACCGGAAGAAAAGCAGCGACGAGCAAGGTTTCTTTTGCTTTTGTGAAACTACTTTTGCTCGTTTGATTCTCTCATACCTTCATCTCCTTCTTAAGTTCATGACATTTTCAGTGACTCAGGATTAGAAAAAATATTGTTGAGTCTTAATTATGTGAGTCTGGCTGCTGTTATTAGTCATGATGTTACTAAACATGTTCAAATGCACCTCACCGTTCCCAGTGAGGTTTGTATCCAGTATGTTAAAGGTAATGAGAGTATGTGCAAGGAAATGAGGGTGTGTGGACCTTGCTGAATGCCTGGTAAGAAAATGGTGGCCAGTCTCTGGGGCTGCTTGGTTAGGTTAAAAGTGGTTTAAAATGGAAACAAAATTTAGAACACAGTCCTATTTATTAGAGCATAAGTATCCCTAATGTGTTCCCTAGGCAAGATTCTGTATGGACTCCAAAAATGTCAAGAATGGTTACAACATTTTTTTAAATGTATTCCTGCCTGGAAGCCTAGGGAACAACAAAATGACCAATCACAATCTACTTTCACATTAAGATTTTATTACAAGATACATTCCTTTCATATCCTGGAGTAAGAATATATATTGCAACAAGCTCTCAAGCTTTTCTCCTAATTAAAAAAAAAAATGAAAATGCATCTAAAAAGTCCTCTGTGTTAGGCAATAGAAAGTATTCCATGAAATATAGATAACAGCTTTATGTATAACTATTAATAACACAATAGGGTTTTTTCACCTGTTCAAAGAAAAGTTATAATTTGTTCCCCAAGTAATAGTTTTTGCTATAAACATTTATTATTTTAAAGTCTAAAATAAAATGGCAATGTCTTCTATCAAAATATAATGAAAGTAGTCATTTCAGTTGCCTGGTATCTATTAGTATAATTTCCTATACCCACTCAAAGAAATATTTCAGTGACACAACTTTGGAGAATGACTTACCCTCCCTTTATATAGTCCAGGAATGATACTTCAGTTTCCACCAAAAAAGAGAGCAAAGTTACCTGAAAAGGAAAATAAGGCAGAATTACCTGTTGGTATTTTTTAAAACTTCCAACAGACTTTGGTTGAAACAGTACGAAGAAAATAACACTTTCTAGCATTCTAAAAATTATTAAAGCAATGATTACTTATTGAAATCTGCTAGGAGATATTCTTAGTTTTTAAGTTCTCCAAAGAAAGGGACCAAAAAGAAAAAGAAAACATGAACTGACCTATTTCTATGACTGGTTTACTGCCCTTGAACAACATGAAAATGTCTATACGAACACATGTTACTTCCCATTCAAAAAAAATAAATAAAAGAAAGATGAAAGGGAGTTGGAAAATGGTTAAAATGAATAAAAAAATCAAGATTAGTAAACTGACACGAGGAAATATATATTCTTGCCATCTGCCTGTAATGGGGCAGATATCTTGCTTAAATAGATTTATAGAAATTTTGAAAAGTAAACATGGAAGGATTTACTTTCTTCCAGCATTTTCATTTTAGGGGAGAATCTTCAGTGTATTTTTTCCCTTGAATTGCAAATGGTTTTCATTTTTCACAACATTCAGATGCTTTGATATCTACACCCTGACTTTGACTTGAAGGAAATGTTTTCTGATTGTTGTTTATTTGGTTTATTTTTGTTTTGGTCTACTGATTTAGTACAGCATTCCCACAGAGATGTGGAAATTGATGCACGATAAAATAAGCACTTTCTCATCTCACAAATTGATAGTTAAGTGCAATCTTAGAAGATTATAATAAATCTTACAAACAATTAAAGTTTTTCATGGCTGCCTGATTGTCTGCAGTCTGGTCCCAATGAGTGAGTGAAGTGTTCATAGCAAATCGTTTTCTTCAGGGTGCCTTACAGTGTGAAGTAAGTGGAGCCACTGTCTCCTAAAAGGTATCTCTCATTAAAATTACTTCATTATATTTTCATATTAAATTCCCAAATGAAACACTGTACAAGTACATGTTTGTTACAAGTTTACAGCCCGATCAAGAGAGTGAGTTGTGTGCATACACACATATATAGATATGTGTGTGTGTTTGTGTGTACTTAAAACACACACTTTTTTCATAGAATTGATTATGACTCATCCGTGTGGTATAGAAAAAGTGGAATTTTGTGGTATCCAGTTCCCAAGGCAGTAAGTGTGGGAACCAGAAAAGTTATTTCCCAGGATTTTCCCCCATAATACATGTCAAACCTAAGGTGCTGACTATCCACTTGGGGGTCAACTGCTTAAAGGTTATCTGCCTGAGGTTATCAGCCATCCAGAGCAATGGGACCTTACAGTCTGGCCCACCTTGAGTCCATTCCCTTCTGATAAGGATAATGGATTTTTCCCTCGAAGGAGAGCCCAATGACAACTAAGGTCAAGGCAACTCAGGGACAATCAAGGCTAGGACACCACCTTGACTCTAGAGTCTGCCTATCTTATTACCATGAGTGCCTTCCTGTCACATGTATGCCCCTACTGCCTCCCCTTCCTATTGCGTGTACACCCCTAGATAGTCCCCTTCCTGTCACATGTATGTCTATTGTACAGTCCCTTCCTGTTAAGCATGTGGTTACCTGTAATTAGAGGGGATTGCATACCCCCTGAGTGTATGTAAGCCTTGGTTTGAAATACATTCTCTCTCTCTGTGCGGATCTGGCTGCTGAAGTCATGATGGTCCCAAATGTGAGCCATCACATGCTTTATCTTGTCTGATGACTTTAATTTTACCCCTCAATTACATAACCGCCCTTGGACCCATTCGATTGTGGGGCTGGTACCCCACAAATAAGCAGAATGCCACATATTTTTCCTACAGAGTTGCTGTTGAGTTCAAACCGCTGATCTTCCAATTAACAGCCAAGCACTTAACGGTGGTGCTACATCTCTTCCCCATCCACCCTCACCTCATGTTTTCTTTCTCTCTCCCTCTCTACACACATGCGCGCACACACGCAGAGGCTTCAAAAAGTTCATAAAAAAATCCTTTTATCTTTCAATTCCATCTTTACACAATTTTCTGCAGCTTCTTTGTATGCATGTAAGTGTATAACTTGTTCACTATTTTGAATCCTTAATAATAATAAAAACAAAAAATTACGTACTGTTCCAGAATTAGTGTATTTTTTCTTTTTTCCTTTCTTCTTAGGATTCACAACCTTCAAATAACAGATTGAACAATTAAAATGTGTTATAGATTGTACTGAAAAAATATAGTTGATCTGCTCCATTTGTTTTCTTATCCATAAATTCATATCATATATTCATATTCTTTTGGTATGGTACTTATGCCAAAAATCATTATCACAACTTATTAGTAGACTTCTTTTTATGAAAAATAAATATATTTTATCCAAAGTCAGGAACAGTAAGATTCTTCTCAATCACTTTATACGATCACTTTATACTCTTAATCACCTGAATCTCCTTATTGTAGCTGAGGCTTTTAATATACAAGGTCTCAAATAATTATGAGCGCTTTGTTGGATTTTAGCATTTGCTAAAGAAAAATATATGCAAAAGACCTCATGTTCTTTTTCCTCAAGGAATTTCTTCTGACTTATTTAAAATGTTTAGTTATCACAACATTCCATACAACAATTACTATGTAATAGGAGTATCTATTAGAAATCATGGCTATTAGGAAGCAATCGTTAGGTCAACAGATCCTTCAATAGTTACTCATTAGGTGACTTGCCAGGCAAGTGGATAACCTGACCCCCCAACTCTGTGGCTGTGACAGGGGTGCAAAAGAGAATTGTGAAAGAAATCATACATAAACACTTCAATGCATTATTTATTAACTTCATTTGTATTGACAGTCATGAACTTGTAAAATAAGACATGTCCTATGATGAATTCCTACTTATTTAGTAACTTGTTTGTGCTGAAAACCCAGAACGTGTTTATTTTTCATATTATGTCAACAGGAGTAGTAGAGCACATGTTTTTATACTACCGTGATGACCCCTTCTGAGCTAGAAATCATCAGTGATAATTTCCCAACAAAGGGCAGGATGTGCTAAAATTGTAAATCCTGTCAATGATAGAGTTTCTGAGAAAGAAATCATTTTTTTCCCTTGAAGCAGTCGCATGAGGTGCAACTCAAATGGAGGGAAGCTGCTGACTAGACCTTGGCTGAGCCCATTTGTTTACACGGTGCGCATGTTCCAAGAGGTAGAGAGCTGCGCTATGTTTGTAACTTGGAGGTGGCACTGTCGTCTAAGGGCCGAATATAAAGTCACTCAGTTACGATTTCATTTACCACTTCTGAATGATTGCAGAAATGGAACACAATTGCTTTAGTCCAATAGGAAAGTAGGAATTTCTTCCCTGAAGAATTCATCAAAATGCAAGTTTTGACATCCTCCAAGGTCTCAAATTATGTTTTCTTTAAATATTCTTTGAGCTTGGGAGCCAAAAGGAAGTCTGAGGGGCAACATCAGCGCTATGGGTATGGAGGGTAAGATGTCCCAATAGATTTTTGAACAGTGGTGCTTGAATACTCATCATGGAGAAAATTCCTGAACTTTTCCCTCACCAATGCAGTTTTGCATTTACTTGAAATTTCTATTTTTATTTCAATTTTCTTGAAATTTCATCCAGATAATCCCCATGATTGTTCTGTGCACTTGAATACCTTTATCACAAGATCCCCTTTCTCCTCAACAGTCACAATAACCTTCTGAGCTGACCTCTGCCTTGAATTGAACTGGTCTAAGAGATTCCCTAAGGAGCCTTGGTGGCATACTGAGTTATGAGTTGGGCTGCTATTTGCAAGGTCAACAGTTGGAAACCACCAGCTACTCCATGGGAGAAAGATGAGACTTTCTATGACTGTAAAGAGTTACAGTCTTGGAAAACCACAGGGGTAGGTCAATCCTGCCCTATGGGGTCACTATGAGTTGGAGCGGACTAAGTGGCAGGAGTGGAGGAGATTCCATTGAAGCCATTTTTTTTTTAATTGAATTGCCCTTCCTTCCTTCCTTCCTTCCTTCCTTCCTTCCTTCCTTCCTTCCTTCCTTCCTCCTGACGCCTTAATCAGACTAAGACAAGTATAAGCAACCCTGCCTGCTGCAATTTATTGACCATAGAAACATGCTTTTTGCATAAAAGTGTAAATTAAACCCAGGTAGCAATACTCTCTGATCTAGCTCTGTATATAGTTATTTAGCTCGAGGATTAACAATTATCAAGCATATCATATATTCAATATGTAACTGCTAATTAACTAGTAACACAACTCACTGCCATCAACTGCATTCTTACTCATAGTGACCCTACAAGACAGGGTTTAACTGTCCTTGTGGGATTCCAATGTTATAATACTTTAAGAGAGGAAAAAGCCCCATCTTTCTCCTTTGGAGGGACTGATGGTTTCCAATGCTGACCTTTCAGTGAACAGCCCACGGTATGGCCCACTCACTGTGCCACCAGGGCTCTGAAGGAGCCTGAAGGCATTAAAAACAACCTGCAAAAACCTAAACTCATTGCCATTGGGTCCATGCGACTCACAGCAACCCTACAGGACAAGACAGAACTGCCCCATGAGTTTCTGAAACTGTGACTGTTTCTGGGATACAAAAGCATTATCTTTCTTTGGCAGAGAGGCTGATAGTTTGAAACTCTTGACCCAGTGGTTAGCAGGCTGATACGTAACCACCACATCATCAGAGCGCCTAACACACAAAACAAAAAACCCCAAATACACAAACAGTTAAAAATAAACCAACAAAAGAAAAAGTTGTCAACTCTAACTCATGACAACCTGAAGGATTTTACTGTTTGTTTCTGGTTTGAGGCACCTCTGGGTGAGCCAGAACTTCCAGTGTTCTGTTAGTAGTTGATCATATTAACTGCATGGATCATAACTACAATGTGTGTGTAAGCAAGCAACAGTAAAGATATTTAGACATACTTATCTAGATCATCTAAGCCATTTTTCTAACATCATGCTGCTAGTACTAAAATGGATAGTTTTGTCTGTTTTTAATTTTAAAAGTTTTAGGGAGATTGGTATACAGGAGAAACATAAGTGCTGAATCTCAAGTAAAGATGAATTTGCACTCACATTGAATTTTTAAAAAATCACTTTAGATACCAAGGGCTCAAGTAGAAAGCAAGTGTTTTGAGAATAATGATGGCAACAAATGTGCAAATGTGCTGGATACAATGGATGTATGTAATGGATTGTGAGAAGCATTATACAAGCCCTCAATAAAATGATTTTTAAAAAATTTAAACACACAACACACATACAAAAATCATTTCAGAAGCAACAGTTAAAAACCTATCACAACAGATTAAAAAGAGTAAATGACTTAAAGAAAATATATCATTTAATCTCAGAAACCAGTTTGATCAATAAGTTAAAAATTTTTAAATATGCTGGTATATTGATCTTTGGCAATTATCTTTTGCAAAATTCATACTTTTGGAATATAAATGTATTTCCTCTAGGTCAAAGCAATTATAAAATAAAATGTCCCTTACCTCATATACATTGAATTGAGATTGCCCTCTAGAAAGTTCCCTATAGCTTGTTGTAAATTCTCCAATGAAATCATGACTAAAATTAAGAAAGGAAAAAAAAAGCTTTCACACATTTGCCAAGTATATTTTTAAGCTTGTTAGAAAGGTATAGTATAAACATTATATTAAATGGTTGTTGTTAAGGACATATGAAAATAACTGGTGATACTGGCTTTATCCTTCAACCCAACATTATTTGTTAAAAAAAAAAGGCCTATTAGCATTTAGCTAACATTTAATAAGTTCCCATCAACAGTAATATACCCAAGCCTTACTAGCAAAATGAGTAGTTCCCCCAAACCAGGTCGTTATACAAAAAGGAACATTATGTGAAAATGGAAGATAATCACATCAGATCATGAAATGGAGAAAAGCTACATCATTACACGACTATCAAATTACATAATTACATAATTGCAAAACCACTGCGAATCGGCCAAATTGACACACGACTTCATCTATGATAGCCCTTGTAACTTTCATCAGAGTACACCACTGATGCAAAAAATAACCAGGGTGGATTTTCACTATTGTTCTGGGTGTAAAATGTCAATTAATGACATAGTCAATACTAAGTGAGGAGTAGTCATGCTTAGAATGAGTGCATTAATCTTAACATATACCTCAAAAGCATACATCATCTACACACTCTTAATGAGTAACTATCTATTAGGATGGAAATGGAAGACACTTAAAATTTATTTCATCCATATGAATAATCATCACAAATATCCAAAAATCTTCTACCTTTCCTGTAGTCAGAATATATACAAGAAACTCATTTTGAATAATCAATGTTAACATGAATAATGCATATTGCTGGTAATATCAAAATGATCACTCTGAATTTTTCTCCTTATAGCAATTGTGACTACCTTCTCAGAGAGCTGACCTATCAACTTGTTTAAGAGGGGGATATGGATTTAGTAAGCACTTATTAAGTCTCCAGCACATTATTACCAAGGTGATTATGTGGGTTACATAGGCAGTTGGAAAACCATGCTAAGCATTCAGCAAGTTAACGACAACCTGCAATCTATTCCTCTATGCCAGCTTAATGACAAACACTAGCTTAACAAGCACTATTCAGAAATAAGAGCAAAATACTCATATTTAATGTGATGGTGGAATGGAATGTAACAATCAAACAGGTAAAGCTTATAGAACTAAACTAGTACAGTAAACATATGCGATGCCACAGTTGTTATTTGTTCTTATAGAATTTAAGCTTAACCCATTCACTTTGCAAATGCAAGCTGATCACTACCATAAAAATGCTCTCTCTCCAAATCTACACTCTGGTTTACAGCTTAACTATGACTCATTAAAATCCATGAATCTTCCATGGACTTCATGAGCAGTGACAAGCAACAAAGTTGTGTTTAAGCAACCAGATTCTAAAGATTTCTAAAGATGGGGAGGGAAAGAAAGGTAGCTGTCATTAATTTTAGTAAAGTTTTTTTTTCAATAAGAACACATTTGAAAATGTAAATTTTAAATGAAGATCATTTAGATATAAAGCCTCTCTGCTCTTCCTTTGCAAAAAAAAAAAAAGGCTCTTGTACACAAATCAGACTTTTTTATATGGGTTTTTTTTTTCTCTTTATACCGGTATCACCTTGATATTTTCTAGGTTTAACTTTCAGATTTACACAAATGAAGATGGTAAAAGGGAAAAGCAATGAAAACTATGATAAACTATTTGTATCTATGAAACCCCAAACTCTAGAATTGACACTTTCAAGTTACCTGGGGAAGAATAATAAGCTTTAATCTACACTTTTCTTTTGAAATCTTGCTCTAAGACTTTAATGAGGAAAAGTAATATTTTATTTTTGACTTTCAGAATTACACGTGGAAAAACAGTGAAATCTTTCAATGCATTGTTAAAAAATCTCTTAGATAATAGAAATTCTATGTGGAATCTGCCCTCCTCGATTGCTATGCTAGTTGCTGATATCTTACGTATCCACTGAGATAAAAGGTTCTATGAAACACAGGGAATGCATGACAGCTGACTCCTCAGGTCCAGTGATGAAAGTGGTGTTACGGGAGGGTGGAGGGAAGGTGGGGTAGGAAAGGGGGAACCGATTACAAGGATCTACATGTAACCTCCTCTCTGGAGGTCGGTCAACAGAAAAGTGGGTGAAGGGAGACGTTGAAATGTGTAAGATATGACAAAATAATAATGACTTGTAAATTGTCAAGGGTTCACAAGGGAGGGGGGAGCAGGAGTGGAGGGGAAAAATGAGGAGCTGATGTGAGGGGTTCAAGTGGAAAGGAGATGTCTTGAGAATGATGGCAACAAATGTGCAAATGTGCTTGACACAATGGATGTATGTATGGATAAGCATTGTACGAGCCCCCAATAAAATGATTTAAAATAACAAAGGTTCTATGAGAATGCTTCCAAGATAATCCTCTAAAATTGATTAGATATGAAAAAGCTATAACCAGAGTTCCCCACCTTATTTGACAGTTATATGAGCTCCAAAACTTGTCTAATACTGTTTAAGTGGAAGTTTATTGACTGTGCCAATTATTATGAAGTAAGTCACCCATCTAGGTCCAATCTGTATTGAAGTTCTGGCCTCTGTACCTGTGCATATGGCCCTGTTTAGAAATAAGGATGTTATTGTTGTTATTGTTGTTGTTAATGATAAACTAGAGTAGGGTGGGTCCTAAGCTTAATTATTTCTCACCGATAAAAAGTGCAAAATAACACAAAGAAACACATGAGTGGGGGAAAGAACGGAGACAGAGATGCCATCTAAGGATCTATTTATAAGCAAAGAAATCCTAAAGATTTCAGACAGATGCTAGAAATTGAGAGTCCCACAGAAGGTGGAAACACAGCTGAGTCCCCGATTCAGACATTTAGCCTCTAAAATATGATAATAAAATTTTGCTCTTTAATGCCATTCAATTGCAGTATTTCTGTTAAGCAGCACTAGGTAATTAAGACACTATTCTTATTGATTTTATTAATTGTTAAAATCCAAGCTCAGCTAGTAGTTAACACTAAACTGCTGGCATTTAACAGATAAAAAATGTAGTAGAGAGAATAATCTCTATGGCATAAATTCAAAAGGATACACAATTGTGATAGTTACATACTTTTATGTCAACTTGAAGATATATAAGCATGTCAACCTGTCAATCAGGTCCCAGGCTTATGGTGACTCCCTGGAGGTGTGACCTTCTCATAAGGAGGCCCTAGAAACCTCCCTCCCTCCCCCTCTCTTCTTTCTCCTTCTGGCTGGCTGACCCTGCTTGCTGCCGGAGACTTAGAGATCCATTCACCACCATTGGAGCCACGTGACTTTGTGCCCACCAACCGGTAGTACTCCTGCATTGTACATTATTACACGTGGCTGTGTGAGTCTGAAGGAGGACATATGAACTAGTATGGGACTTACGGACCTGAGGTGGACTAGGCTAGGATGCTTTCACGATATATATTTACTTCTTGACATAAAGCTCTTTTTTATACATATGATTATCTCTGGATTTGTTTCTCTAGTCAACCTGGCCTAACACAGCAATACCTTCAGCTGGGTTTAAGCCTGAGAAAGATAAATATAGAACCAATTCAAATATTCCAGTTCACCAAACTACACATGGATGGGTAGAAGATGCTAAGATGTTATTCTTTGAAATTTAGTTTAGTTTTGTTCTTGTTAAATGTGCTGCTTGCTACAGAGCAGAGTGATGGAGCAAACCAATTGATTATTAGTCATTTTTTTCTGCTTCAATTTCCTCATGTTTACTTCATCATGTCTTATTATATGCATTTTTGAAAGCTGACTTAGATTTTTTGCATAATAAAACAGAGCATAAATAAATGAAAGAGTGAATAAAATACTTGCCCTCATTCTAAACCTTGTTGAAGATGATTATTCTGAAGAGAACACTGAATTTGCATGTCATATAAATGCAATGCTATCCTTCATGCAGAGGAAAACGTCTATTAAGTGAGTCACAAATTGCATTTCAGCTTCTAAAACAACATGACTGTGAGATTAAGAAAATATATCACTGCCCCATTTCAGCATTCAAACAAATGGATGATCAAGAAGTGAGGATTTGTCAAGGGTCATAAACACAAGACAGTAAATGGAGACAAAGCAAACAACATCATATTTTCCCTCAAGAAGATAAATCTAAAGAATTTTTTCTGTAAAAGTGAGTAGATTCTCTGATCAATAATGGTATAGATTTCTGCAAGTACATGGAAAATTCATAGAACCATGCCTTGATAAGTTGCCCTATATCAAATCCTGTTTACTAAGTCATAAGTACTTAAAACGTATTTTCCTAGTTTTTTCCTAGCATCAACTATTTCTGAATTTTCATAAGATTAAAAAAACTGAATTATATATTATGTTCATGGCTTCTAATACTGTAATATCAAAACACAGAGATCATATGAGGGAAGGTACTACAAAATAAATCACAACCAACAATTTCCTTGTGATTCAATAATTCTGTCTATTTCTTATTAATGCAGTTATAACTAAAACAATTACCCTGTAAGTCCCCAAAAGTCTGCTCTAGCTACAATATTACTTATTCCACTCTGGTTTATTTGGTTTATTTCTGGTTAGGACCCTGATTTTTTGTTTACATATCTTTGAAAATTATTATTACATGTTATTTATAACCTGAGAACATATAATTTAAAAAAATCATTTTATTGGGGGCTCTTACAGCTCTTATCATAATCCATACATACATCCATTGTGCCATGGACATTTGTACATATGTTGCCATCACCATTTTCAAAACATTTCTTTCTACTTGTGCCCTTGGTATCAGCTTATTTTCTCCCCTCCCCCGCCCTCCCTCCTTCATGAACCCTTGATAATTTATCATTTATTTATCATGTCTTACACCATCTGCTGTCTCCCTTCACCCACTTCTCTGTTGTTTGTCCCCTTGACAGGGGTGTATATGTCGATCATTGTGATCAAAATTATATAAAGATTTATGCTGGAGCAAATTGATTACACGTATAGCTAGTTGTTTAGCTTTAAA